TTATGAATATTATTCTAACAACGCGACATTCAAAAATCCAAGGAAGGAACTACAAATGGCACACAAAAACATAACAAGTTCTACCAGTTACCAACTATTGCTTTAGCACTATGTGATGAGCAGTAACTCTGCAAAGCAATTAGAGCCAGGCGAACAACTGCTATAACCACACTTCAGAAATGAGCAGTCTATTTATACGCGAAATCACAAGTGATTACTGATTTTTTGATTTGTTAGTGAACATTTAGGAGTGATACGGACCTATAGCGTGAACATCTTCAATTGTACACTCAAAAGTAGCCAGCTAAAAAACATTGCAAGTCCGACTGTTTACTAATCTTGGGATGAGATTGGCAAATAGGGCTGTTCCCATGTCATCTATTTCAAATCTATATAGAATGCAATCCCTTTCACTATTGATAGCTTAATTTAGAGCAGGTTTAGGGATTTGTGGTCTATACCAAGACTTTTAGCTTGCATAGGCACGATTATAAAAAAAGTGTTGTTAACCTATTTAAAGGTCAAGGCAATTTAATTGATCTCTGCAGACGTTCAAACTATGGCACAAAAACATGCTCCTTTCAAAATCTTTCAACTTGACTGTATTTATCTATATGGGAAGGCTAAGTCGTATGCAACGCTGATCTATTCCACATGTTTGGTTCCAAGATAGAGTGATTCACAAAATAAACTTATGGTTTTCAAGCTTAGCGACATAGAAAGTCGGTTTGAACCAGTTTCTTAAGAAAGTGACTGCATTGATCTATCGCACATCTCTGGTGAACTTCTTTTCATGCAAGCGAATCTTAAATCATTATGCATTTCATCCCAAAACGATAAACACATTGAATCGCCATAAGACAGCTACATGATCTTTGATCAGCAAATATATTTACAGCTCTAGCAGCAGCTGCCCGAACACTTCGCCATAGAAACATAAAAATGTGAAGTTGGACCTCCACTCTTGACAAAATACGTAAGCAGAGAAAAAGCAATATTTTCCATTGCAAGAGAGTTGGGGCTCAAATTATGTATCTGAACACTTTTAAGAAGGTCCTAAATCGCGCAAAAACATTTTGAGCTTATTTTTGTAATAGTGATCAAATCCGCAACCTTTCATGGCAGCAGTGCTATTTTCAGCAACACAGTTATGCACAACAATCCATCAATTTTGTTTGTAAACTCTCATATTCAGTAGTTTTTAAACATCTTGATAACGTTCTTTGGTTTAAAAAAAAGTTAGCAAGGCTAGTGGCTGATAGAAAGTCGTCTCAAGTTGCGTCGGAAGCTAACTGTTGTCGACTCAACTAGCTTCGGCATAACTCATATGAAAGACCCAAAAAATGTCTGCTTTCCGCAGTTCTACACAATGAACCACTATGGTGTCAATTACGT